GCATAAAGTTGGAGGGATGGCTTACGTTGCTTCCTGTGCCCGTCTGCCAGCAGCGAGCTGTGCCTGAGGAGGCAGAAGCAGGCTGGCTGAGTGTTAGTCAGGATGGAGAGGAGGGCAAGCTGAGCGCCGCTAATGAGCTCATGTATGAAACATGAGAATATGCCCCCCCCCCCCTCGCAGCAGCAGTTCTTTGAACACAATAGGATGCACTTATATCAAATTGCTCCCCCTATATATATGTGCACACACAAGCTATAATGTTCAATACGACCCTCCTCCAACCCCACTCATGGATCTGTCCATCCCAGCATCCGTGCGGCTCACTAAACCACATTCCGTGCTTTCCCACACTCTGATGTCTGCACTAGAGATGCACTGACTGCCTATTCCGATTTTTGCAGATTTTCTTTTTTTTTTTAAATAAACTGGTCATAATTACCTCTCTAAGTTTTTTAAAAATATTAATCTGAAAACATCTCCTTCAAACAACTGTATTTATTGAAGTTTCTTGCCAGAATCTACATTTTACAAGATGACATTTGAACACATCTTTACAGTGTTATAATTTACCTTCGCCCAATACGTTTTGCTGAGTAGAGCTTGAACGCATCATAATGCAAGTCAATGCAACCTCGGTTAAGGTGAGCTGTGAGCTCCGTTATAAGCAGGACTTTGCAAGGGAGGAACTCCGCGCTGTCAGCATATGAGCCGGTCACTGTGATTACTCCGAACAGTGGGCGTGGGAATGCATTACACTGTAATAAGTGTCTGATTAAGTTTGCTGTTTTTGAGGTTGTTCCTCCACCACTTATTTTGAACTTGCAGTTGTGACAAATTGCAAGCTTTATGTCGTCTTCACAACAGAACTTGACTTCCACACCAGAGACATGTGTGTCTCTGTGGCTTTGACGTTGCTGTTCGAGCCGACGTAAAACAATAATGTGGCAGCTCCTGGCAAAAAAGCAAATAAACGTATTTCCCAAAATGCCGAATGGAGACAATAACGGAGTACATACCCATTAAAAAACATGATGAAGTCCCAAGTAGACTGTTTTGATTTTAAGGAAAAAAAGAAAAAGGCAACAATGGTTGGAAGCTACTGTATTGTATTGCCACTTAGCTTGCTCACACGGAGAGAAAGTTACCTAATTAGCTGTTCTGAACCACTCTGAGGTTTGAAATATAATTTGTATCATTGTCTTGATGGTGGTTATTAGACAGCATCAGCTCCAGGATGAGACAAGCTGGGGGCTGGCACAGTGGGGAGGAAAGGAAGAAGTCTCAGACTAAGTGGCTGAGACACGCACGCGCATGCACGCACGCACACACACACACACACACACACACCTCTGCTCAATCAGAGGGAAGAGGGAGGCCGCTGGCGTGGCTATCACATATCTGGTAGGCAGATCTGGTGTACGTGGACCAGACAGCTCACTTACCACCCCTCTAATTGCTATGCGAGATCCTTTCCCACCTGACAGAGTCTCCCATGTCAACTTCCATTCATGCAGGCCCCGTTAGGCAGCGTGCAAGGAGATAGCCATTGAATAATACATGGGGGCATTAGGCCTGACTTGGGATGGCACAGGGCATGCAGCACGTACAGATGTGAGATGACTCAGTATAGGCTACGGCTGCAACGAGAGCAAGAGCCAGATTTAGAAACAATACACGGTGAGGAGGAGAAACAGTCGATACAAAAAGGCAGATGAAGACGGGGAGATATGACGTGAGTGTGTTAACTGTTAACTTAGTGGTTATTTCCATGCTAATGCCGAGAGGCAGCGTGCCATCCTGTCGCCATGCCAACCGGTGGCAAAAACTAGTGAGCCTCTCCGAGCGTGACGGATGAAAATAATCTTTTCTTTACAGAATGGGACAAGACATCAAGCGGTAGAGCCTCCTCCTGCGCTGAGTGGAACCAGAGCACTGGGTGATATTGCCACTTCCTGTAAGTCTGCGGGAGGCTGCCGTCATTGGCAGGCCATGCGAATAAAATCTGCACTAAAAAGCCCATAAAGAAGAGAGACAGTCTGTTAGCCCCCCAACACATGCGGCAGTATATTTGGTGTCGAAGGAACCTCACAAAGGCGATCACAGAGCCGGCACTGGAAAAATTCATGAGCTCAGCAGTCCCCTCTAACACCAGTGATCCCAGCGGGCGCTAAACATCAGTGATGGCTGCCAGGGACCGCGGCCAAAATCGAAGAGGCCGTTCATTCATAACACAAACAGAACAGAGACACTGTTGAAAGATGATGAGAAGAGATACTGGGGGTTAGGAGAAGAATGAAAAAAAAGAACTTGCTTGATGTAGGTCAAAATACTCATTCGTTATTCTAATGAAGAAATAATTACTTTAGCTAAATAGATGTAAAGTTGATAAAACAAAATTATTACAATCAGCAGACGGACGAAGCAAATGGAGCAGACACATCGCACAGTGATGCACAATTCTCGATGGCGAAGTTACGGGCTTTTAATGAGCCTGCGGAAGTTAACGATGGCAAGGTGGTTGCGTTTGCTGCTGCATTATGAGCATCTGAACAGCTCTCTAATTGAAAGTGAATAATGCAGTCATTTCTTCATTGCCTCGTAACAATAAGAAGCCACCAACATCTGTGAGGCCTTCGCGTCGTCAAACAAACGAGAGGCGGCTCCGTCCTAACGCGGCACCGCCGATGTGCGTGTCATAAAAGCCTGCACATAATAAGGCGGAGGAGAAATTGTGTGTCTTTGTAATCGAGTTGAAGGCACCGACTGTGATTAATGTGTTTAAGCTCAGCTCGGGCTGTTTGAGTGCAGCAGGCACTGCAGGTAACACAAACAGGCAGTCAGCATATGCAGACACTCGCATTGCATGGGTGTATGCGAACGCAACGGCAGCCGAGCGGCACAGCTGATGAAGGAAGAGGGACAGGCTGATATCTCAGACAGACACTCAATAACCCGTGATGCTTTAAGGCTGTGGGATCACAAAGCATAGCAGCGCACAGATTGCAGCTGGTATGGCATAACATTTTGTGGGGCTGTGCACAAAGGCACAAAGAAAAGGAATCATTTGACTAAAAAAAGTGTCTGTGTGTATGAAACCTCTGCTTGGGTTTTGGCTACTGAATTACTCTGATTAAAATGTTAGACATGCTCACTGTCAATATAACTCAAGTCAAACTCAGTAAATTGGGTTTGCTCAGAGAAGACTCTAAACTTACTTTGCTGTGGGCTGGAAAATAAATACATTTTTCTGATGACTGAATCTGGGAAGCACTAAAACGCCCAAGAAAGAGGAACTCTCTCAGAATGCGCGGCCATAAAAGCTCTGAAACACTATCTCAACAGCTCACCTGCTCCATTAAACTGGCATCTTATTATTTCCTCTGCATCCTTTGAGGAACTCCATTAGCACTGGGCTAATACATTTTCCACAAAAACATTTCTGAATTTGTCTAAGCTAGCCCTGCTAGCTGCTCTGTGAGGCTGTACTCAGACACGGAGTGGTGCTTTAAGCTAAACGCTAATGTCAGCATGCTAACATGCTCACAATGAGAACAGCAGGATTCATGTTCACCACGTTTACCATCTTAGTTTAGTGTGTTAGCATGCTAACATTTGTAATTAGCACTAAAACACAAAGTGCAGCTGAGGGTGATGGGATTGTCATTAGGTTTGCAGCTACTTGGTCATAAACCAAAGCATTTGACCACCACGTGTTGGCACTAGATGGAAAGTCAAATGATAATCCATTCAGCAGCTGTTTAGCTTTATAATTGTGGACCAAAGCGGTGGACTGACATGCTGCTAGCTTGGGCTGAAAACAAACTGCTTTACTTTGTTACCAACATTATGAAACTCGACCTCCTTTTTAAGTCGTGTGGAACGGAAATGGTCGTGGGAGCTATTGTAGTAATTCTGATGGGTATGGACGCTATGAAGCTCACAATGGAGCCATTCCTCCACTGAATCACAGGAAAAATAAATGAATACTGCCAAAACTTCAGAGACAAAAACCAGGAAACATTCTCCCGGGTCCACTTAACCACGACACCGCTCTCAATCATTCAGACACTCTTTAGGAGAAGAGCTGTCGTATGTTCCATCATGTTCTCGACAGAAGCACCCTGAAAGAGACAGGGTCATGAATAAATCATGTATGTCCTCGCCTTTACTATTGGCACTCCATTAAGAGGAAATTACATTTGTTTAATAACACAGAGAGACAGTGTTTTGATGTACACTTCAGGTGCTGGACCCGTATGCACGGTCAAGTTTTGGCCCAAATCCTACCAAAGACCACAATGCACTGCAGGTGCCACTGGAGCGGGAGCTGGATAAAGAAAGAATAGATGGCGGAGAGATGCAGCAAAAGATGACAAAAAACAAAAACCCTAATTAAATGTGTCCTAGTGGAGCCATGCGGAGGATGCACCACCTGGCTACTAACAATAGCATTAAATAAGCATTGACAGAATACTTCAAGAGGAGCACACTCTGACACCGGCTCCCTGTTTGAATGTCCTCACCCCTGGGGGTCATTTACTCATGTTATTCAGCTCTTCAATTATTTATTTGTAAATTTAGTCTCACTCCACATCTCTCTTGGGGGCAAAATTATACTCTCAGCAGGGAATCAAACCTCCGGCTATAATGGGTTTGGTATTCATCAGCACCCGCGCCAATGGCAATTAGGGACGTAATGGCTCCCAGGCCAAAAAAAAAAAAACACACACCACAGAGTACGCTGGGCGGAGACGCTCAACAAGCTGAAGCTGTGGAGTTCAAGTGAATGCATGTGCATGGATCTGGTCCATTTATCTATGTGCTGCTTTAGAGCTCATGCCATGTCAATAGGCCTTTTCAAGAAGACTTATTGTTAGAAGATGACACTAGTGTCGATAAGGATGTGCTGGAAATGCCTCAGAAACCAAAAGAACGTCCATCTTGACATGAAGCACACTATAATTTCTACCCCCCCTCCCCCCCCCCCCCAGCTGAAGAAATGCTAATGTGCTGTTTGTGGGCTATCAGTTTCCAGATAGCACGTGCCAGCCCCTTCTTACCAAATAGGATGACAGTTTAATGAGCCCTTTGCTTGGTGTCAGCAGCACATTGTGAGATTGCGCCTGATGCCATATTGCGTGCGCCCACTTGAGCATTTGAGCAAGCCGCACAAGCGATCATTAACTTGCCGTCTCTTCCCACATTTGTGACGCGTTCCCCACCTGATTCCCCGTTCCTTTGTTCAGCCCGAGCGTTGGCATGTCGCCGGTTTCCCAGCCTCGATGTCCCTGGGAGCTGCGTTGTTCTGTGTGAGGCACGCTGCGTATTTAGGATACCGAGGTGAACTTGAACGCGTCTTTGGTGGCTGTCGGGGGAGAGATTAATGCGGTCCCCGGCTGTTTAGCAAGTCAAGGTGTTCAGGAGTGTATTTCAGCAACAGAAGTCAGACAGGTGACTGAGTTTCATGCACAAAGGTGAAAAGAAACGTAATCTGCAAGTAAAAGGATTTGGTTCCTCGTACAATTATATAAAATCATAGACCTTTTAATGTGAACAAAAACATAAAAACTTGATTCAACTCTGCCTGGCTGCAACAATGAAAGGCTGCCCCCTAGTGCCAGCAGAGGGTGCATTCAAGACAAGACAATGGGTCGTCACAAGTGGTGACTCTGCAGCCACAGGCCTTAATGGTCTCTAGACAACAGTGTGTTTGCTAAATAGCTGATTGCACACCTTGGGGTTGCAGCAGGAGCCTGATCCAGGGCTCCGGTCTCTGGTCTTTCACTACCCGTTCTGGCCCCGTCACTTCCCCTTTGCTCTCTGCGTCTCAGCGCCTCAGAGAGCAAAGTAACCTTCTTTTTTGTTGTTGAAATCTTTAGAAATCCCTCTGTGACTGATGGAGTTGAGAAAGTAGCACTGCAGGTGGTGCTGTCAAAGTCCATTTATGTCTCCGCCAGTGCCAGGAGGCCAAACCAATCTACCCAACCCGTCCTCTACAAAAAAGTGAGCCCTTTCTTTAAGCAGCATTTCAGATCTCCTCTCGTTGGAGAGTGTGCGAGCGCTTATACATCATGTCTGCACTGAGTAGCTTGGAGGTAATTGGCTACTTCACACAATCTAAAGCTCATTTCCCCTGCACACACACACACACACACACACACACACACACACACACACACACACCACCCCTCACCTTCCTCTCAACAACTGCCAGTCCTGCTGGTAACTCATTTGATGCCGACTCCCCGCTGACAGCAGATCACTTCCCCTTCATTTGGGAGAAACGTCGTTGTCCATTGATGTCCTCCCAGCGTGGAGCGACATCAAAACAGGACTTCTCTTCCAAAAAAGCTCTCATGATGCACATTGGAATTGATGGTTAAAAGGTGTATTCAAAGACAAGTGAGAGGCACCTTTCAGAAATACAACAAACACTTTGCAGTCGCAGTGGGCAAGAAAACGTTTGTCGTGTGTTTGTTTTGCTAATGGCGCATTTATTTTACCGACCCCGCCAGGAGGATGATGGGATCGGTCGTGTGTGCGCGTGTGCATGTGTCCGTAAGCGAGGCAGCGAGTCTCTCCTTTTCTTGATGTAGACTCACCGTGCTGCGCCTCCCTCTGCTCCAGCTCCTCCCTGAGCTGCTGCCGCTGCTCCTTCATCCGGCCCAGCTCCTGGCTGCTCCCCGAGCTGAGGCTGTGCAGCCTCTTGGCCAGAGCGTCCAGCCGGTCGCGCTCCAAGTACACCGCCTTCATCTCGGCCCTCAGCTCCTTGGCACTGCCGAAGTCATTACCTGCACCGGTGCGCCACAGGAAGACATTAAGGCCTACACCGCCCATTAATGAGCGCCTCGATCATTAATAGCATAATTAGGTAAGGCTAATGGTGGGCGATCCAAGCAAATGAGGTAAATAGAAGACGTGAAATGTGGGGAAGGGTCGAACTGGGGTGTGGTTGTAGTGGAGAGTTACCCGAGATGGCTGCCAGTTTGGCTTCATGCAGCGCCAAAAGCTGAGTTTCAGTCTCGCCGACTTTCCTCCTCAGGCTGCTGCCGAGCCTCTGACTCATGACCACCTGGGGAAAAGAAGGACAAGAAGAGGCTGAGGAGGGGGAGGAGGGGGGGTGTAACTAACAAAACCTTTGCAGACACATGGATCCCACGGGATGCAGAGCTCATTTCCAATTCCGCTTTCATTCTCTTTCTGACACTCATTCTTACAAGACCGTACAGATTCATTTCCGTCCCTCTGTGCTCGCCCCGCTTTGAATACACAGCCGAGCATCGACGGCGAGCTGTTACCTCGTCTATAACCTTTAGAAGAGAAAAGAGAATGCGTCTCCTTTCACGTGGACGGACAGGGAAATATGAAATCTCCATAAAAGATGCCATTAGAATGTCAGGGAGGAAAAAGGCCCTGAATGTCACGGGCCTTAGCTCTGCTGTATCCACAGAGGAGTTGATGGCTTCAGATACCGCCTGTCTGGCCCCTCATCTGCCCTCGCTCTGCCCTTTAAACCTCTCTTCTTTCCAGTGTGTTCACTTTGAGTAACAGCCGGATACAATACCCACGATGCGTCTCCTTCTTTTGAGGAACTATTCTCAACCACTCAAAGGGAGCCGGATTTTCTGACTCATTTTCTTCTTGAATCTGATGCGTTTTTGTGCAACACTTTGAAAAGGCTGTCAAAGAGGTTGGTATTTCTGAGGCAGAACATCTCCCGGGAGTTCTCTTCCCACAGAGATACAGAAAACAGGCTTGCATAATCTTATTTCACGCATTACATGAACTGGAAACTGCTCTAGAGTGCCTTTCAAATTGTAGAATTTCTTTGACATCGGTGATTTCATTTCAAAACATCAGGCCATTCGTCAATCTCTAAAAAAAGTCAATAGAGAAAGTGAAAGTTACTTTCATGCCGGCAAACATTTTGTCACAGCGGGTGTGCCATTTTCCACATGGTGGCTAACTCATTTAGGAACAAAACTTTTTCATTTCAACCTAACAATGGACAATCTTGTGATTGAGGTAAAAGTGTGTCCTCGTGGAAAGCCCACATATTCCTTTGAGGTGCAATTGAAGTGTCGACCAGCCGTTCGACGACGGCTTTCTAAAGCAACACGGTAAGAGCAAAGAGGTCTTTTCTGAGCCCCCCCCCGTCCCCCCCGTCCTCTGCCTGTCTCCCTCTTTCCTTAAACCACCACTCCTTACAGATTTCTGCTGCTTCTGGCTTTTTTTCAGCTGCAGAGATCTATGTACAAAGATCAGTGAGAGGGGAAAGCAAACCCCTCAGAAGCAAAAGGGAACTCCAGAGACACATCACATACAAAGGGGGAAACATGCAAAGCCACACACACACACACACACACACACACATACAGGAATACACCACTGACATTCTGACACGCATAGAAAAGCCAACAAAGCCATGCTAGCCCGACAGATGTTTCACATTCATAGATGTATGTGTACTATCTGTCCAAGGGCTGCTGAAAAACCACTACAACCAGATCACTAACTAAAGTACCCATTCAGCTGCTTATTTCTCATCATAAATACTGTTGTGTTGTTTTACGGAGGATTTTTAAAGGGCAGTTTTTAATTACTCTCATGGACAGTTCACTGCACGTGAATTGGCCTGCATATTTAATACATTGACGCTGACATACACAGGACATGCTCTCCAGTTTGACTTCCTACTCATTAGATATTCACACACATTCAGTCATTGCTGGCATGCTGAGGGCAGGCTGAGCTGTTTTGGGCTAAATGGGTCAGAGGAGCAGTGGCTTACTTTAGCAGTGGCTTCCTTGATGGACAGGTTCAATGCCCGCTCCTGCTCCTGGAGTCTGCAAAAAAAACAAAGGAAGTAAACACGTTACAGTGCAGTACTAGAAGTCATTTCTTTCTTTTGGTTGCTTCGAGTGACAGCAATAGATATCAATGACGGGGTTAAAAGTCCACCAGTTTACTCTAATCTACTCATCTGGCTGCTAAACACAGAGGTTTTTTTAACTATCAAGAGAGTGACTGAATCCTTTATAACTCTTATGAAGGAACGTCCTTAAACATCTGGTCCAATCGATAAGAGCAAAACAGTCTAGTCTAGATTCTTGCATCCGCAGCAAAAACGTACCCACAACCAGAATAAGAGGTTTACACACTGCCTAGTGAAGTGGATTCAGACTGATATTGTGTGCAAACATGAAAGCATAAGGCCTGTATTATTATGTTTCACATTTGCAACCAAAATTCTAACCAGTGATTTTAGTCATTTTTGCTTAAATTGTTTTCTTTTTACAAACAATCAAGACAATCAACTAATCCATGAAAAGAACAGTTTAATATCTTGGGAAATGCGCCTATTTGCTGAGAGTTCGATAAAAAGATTGATACTCTCATATCTCATCTATCTATATATCCGTTAACTATGAAGCTAAAGCCAGCTGCCAGTAAGCTTAGCTTAGCATAAAGGCTGGAAACGGGAAGAAGCTGCTTCCAAAATCTGTCCTCCAGCACCTCAAAAGCTCACTACTTCACACACTACACCGTGTTGTAAAATCCAGACAACAACTAAAGTGCAACAGCAACGATTGTGAATCTTGTGTCAGATTCGGTGACTTACGATTGGTTGTTGGCTGTTGTTCTGTATTAAATAGACAGATATGAGAGTAGTGTGTGTGTGTGTGTGTGTGTGTGT